GAAAGCACAGACAGAAACATGAAAAGGGAAGTGTAGCACTCTATGTACACTCACCGACAAGTTTCCTTAAAGATGTAACATTTTACAGAATATCTCCAAAGGGGTCTCACTTCTCACAGCATAAACTGTCATAAAACATGCAAGTAGCTGTATCTGTTTCCTAATGAAATTTATTTTTATCCCTTCCCTGGGGCCTCACGATTACTTCAGTAAGAGGAAATATGAATTCAAGTGGAAGCAGGGGAACTGCAGATGATCTGTCTGCCTGTTAGGATAGAGTGAGGAGTGGGATTTATATAAATAGGATGGATAGCAGATAAAGAGATAGATTGATAGATAGACAAACAATGTATTGAGCATGTACTCTGTACCAGGTACTGTGTTAAATCCATTACAAAGATTATCCCATAAGGTAGTTGGACTATTACTCTATTTTAGAGACAGTGAAACTGAGGATCGTAGAATTTAAGTAACTTGCCCAAGGTCAACACCTAGAAAGTTGTAGAGTCAGGGTTTGTCACCAAATCTGATTCCAGACCCCAAATTCTCAACCCTTAATGCATAATGTTCTGAATATAAAAAGGAAGTTCAAGCCTACCAAACCCTTTCTGTGTCTTTACTTTATCATTAGTAAAATGCCTGTGAATCCCTGGAAAGTTTCTTCTCAAGGATGTTTCTGCATACAAAATTTGGTCACTGGAATGGGCTGTGAAGAAACGATCTCTAATGTCGTCTCCAACTATAAGATTATCCTAAAAATTTACTGCTTGAGTAAAGCAAGTTTTATTTTAATCCACTTTAAAATGAAGGGAAGGCTGGGCGCAGTGGTTCACCTCTGTAATCCCAGCACTTTGGGAGGCTGAGGTGGGCAGATCACTTGAGGCCAGGAGTTGGAGACCAGTCTGGCCAACATGGCAAAAATTCATCTCTATTAAAAATACAAAAATTAGCCGGGTGTGGTGTCATTCACCTGAAGTCCCAGCTGCTCAGGAGGTTAAGGTGGGAGAATCACTTGAACCCAGAGCAAAAGTTTCAGTGAGCCAAGATCACGCCACTGCACTTTAGCCTAGGTGACAGAAAGAGACCCTGTCTAAACAAATACAATAAAATAAAAACTGAAGGGGAAGATAGATATTATCCCTCTGGGGTTAATTTTTGAGTACTAAGTAGTTAGAAGTTTGTTCAAAGCACTTCAAGAAAAGATATGGCCAAATTGTTGTGTTCAGAAGACTATTTTAACCATGTCTCTTTCCACCCATCCCTAACACCCAAACATGCATATTCATCAGCTAATTTCATTTTCTCCTTCAAAATCTCTGCTCAAGGATTTTCTTCTCCAAGAATCCCTCACTGCCGGCGCCCCTCAGCAGGATCTCATCCATGTCCATTGGGTCCATGTCTTGTTATGGGATTTATTACATTGTCCTGTCATGGATTTTCGTGTTAGTCTCTCCTGCTAAACTGCATGTGTCTTAGGGATTGCGATCATGCCATCTGTGTATAGTAGTTTCCAGTCTAGAGCACGGCACTGACAAGACACTTAATATATGCTAGCAATAAAGTAATATGCCATAACAATATAGAGCCTCTAAGTCTGAGGACAGAACCCTTATCTTTACTGTGGGGAGCTACTGGCTGAAGCCAGCTCAAGACACCTTTTCAACCAATGTGTAAACAGCAACAGCCTGTTTAAGAGCCCAGGGCAATCAGTTAAATCCCCAGTTGCAAACCTTTATGGTTTTCAGGGTAAAAGACCTCAGAGACAACTGTTCTCACTTGTCATTTCAAATATTTAAAGTCACCATTCCCTGGAGCGCCTGCTGTTGACAGGCACCATGGTGAACTTCTCTGGGTCTTTTCACCTGTCGGAGAGGTCTGAGGACAGAAGGGTTTAAGAAAGGAGCATGGCCTTGTTTTTTAAGCATGGCCTTGTTTTTCTCTACACTCTTACACAAGGTTTTCTTGCCACATTTTTTTAATGTATAGATTTTAGTCTATGGTTATATGAGTGGTTTTACTGGATGAAGAATTCAGGTTTTCTGACCCCAGACAGCTATTTCTATCAGTTGATTCCAAGTCTTTCATCAGAATGAACTCAAGTCTCACCTCCTCCAAGAAGTCTTCAGTGACCTGCTCCCCCAGTCACATGTAAGTGCCCTCCTCTGTGTGCTCAGTGCCCTGTGTGTGCTTCTAATGTGGCACATATTACCCTGGTCAGAAGAGGGGCTCATTAATTTGTCTGTTTTCTACCAGGTTGTTTGCTGCAGTGAACTGAAACCACGTCTTATATCCCAGTGCCTCAAATCGTGCCACACAAACAGACTCTTACATTGCTTCTCTCCCTGTTTCTTCCTGGTTGGGGAGGGGAAGGAGTAAATATTCTTTGATGGTTTGTGCTTTTCATGAGGTCCATTTTTGTACTCCCATTGCTACAGGGAGCAGGGAGGAAGATTTCAGTGTGGTTTACTATGTTAAGATCAAGACTAATGATAAAGGTTGCCTACATAAGCTCCAGAAGCCCTTCCAGCTCCCAAAATCTAAAACGTAATTTCATTCAATGCCATCTTTTCTCCCTCCTGCACAAAGCCCTGCTTCCTGCTCAACCAACATTAGAGAAAACAGGGACTGAGCAGCCATCTGAAGGCTGATGTTATAAACACTCCCTGGGACTTCATAACAGTCAGGAGGGCTGAACTGCTGTCGATTCAAAGACCAGTCCAGCTGCTATCCTGGGATGAGGGATCACAGGGAGAAGATGCTGAAACAACTGTTATAGATTTTACTGGCAGTGGCTTTCGACAGACTGGAATGGAAACGATAATTGGTGAAGACGTCTTAGAGGTCACTAGTGAGTACGAGAAAGCTCTCTGGCTTTCATTAACAGCAGCCTCTGCCTGAACTGGATAATAACCTTGAAGATGGTAGCTTGAAAGGTGAATTCACATGGGGGGAAAGTCTGGGGCCACTTCTAAGCAGCAGCTTATAGCCTTTCAGAAACAAATGCTGTAATGAGTCAAGTATTTCTCTTTAGAAGATTTTTTGCTACCAATTCAGGTAGCCAAATAACTGTACCCCTGTTTTATCAGAAAACAAACCTTCTAAATTAACAAATAAGCTAAAGTCGTTAGTATTTTCAGTAACAAACATATGTTTTTTAGTGACATAAAGAGAAGATAAAGAAGTTAGCTTTTTCCTTCCTGGCTGCAAATGACCTTAAAAGATACTGTTAAATAATAAATGTCCATTAACTAGTCTTGAAATAATTGCATTTAAACCAATTTTATGATCATATAGAACCACATTTTACATTATAGTGCAGCAAAATAAAAGTGCTCTATATTGCAGGTATTGGGCAGTAATAGAGGCTGTCTTGTGAGAGGATTAATATTCAGGGCCTCCGAAGACTCCAAGTGCCCCCAGATGTGATATCACCAGCTTATGGCATCAGTCTCCTTTTCTCCCATTGCAAGATGAACGAGGGAACAAGGAACCAAATCATAAAAGAGAAAACGTTGCTCGAAATGTCATTCTTTTTAAAGGCAAATAAGTACACAAAAATTAGCCAGGTATGGTGGCTAGTCCCAGCTACCTTTGGGGGGCTGAGGCAGGAGGATTGCTTGAACCCAGGAGGTCAAGGTTACAGTGAGTGGAGACTGCACCACTGCACTCCAGCCTGAGTGACAAAGTGAGACCCTGTCTCAAAATGAACAAACAAACAAAGGCAAATAAGTGGCTTAACAGAATAGGAGGTTCTTTCTGTAGCCTCCACCACAAATGCAGGTTACTTTCTCTCACTGATTAATTGTCACCTGAGAATGTAGAGGAAATCTGGTAATATTTACTAACATTCTAGAGTGACTAAGGAAATAAGCTGCAGAAATGCAGGACGTCATTTTGTCACTGGTTGGTTAGTTAGCATATTCTCTTTGCACATGATCTACAATGTAAGTCATCATCATTATTATCTGGGGTTTTATGTTCACATCAAAGTTTTCTAATACGGTGGTGGTGCCTAGGAGGGAGAACTACATAGAGAAGCCTGCCCTTCTCCTTCACTTCTGCACTTTGTAAAGGGAGAGAGGGAAGAAAGGAAAAAGTGAGAGAGATTTTCTTCTCAGAATGAAAAAATTGTATTATTGGTATCCTGTAAAAGAGTTCTTATACTCTTGGAGGAAACACACACAAAAAAAACTTCAGTGAGAAGCTTCATATATTGTGATACCATAGACAAAAAAGAGTTCAAAGTGAAGAACTTATGGCAGACATAGCCATAGAAGAACACAATTTTAAATATATCACGTGCCTAGGTAATAGCTCAGGTGGGTACAGAGTCTGCCTGCCCGTTAATGGATTAACATGAGGCCAAATGTTTCCTGTGCATCCTCTTATGCCACACAGGATGAAGGCACACTCTATACAAATGGTACAAATGCTTTGGAAGGAAAAATGCTCCTTGCTTTAATAAGGATGGCCTTCCCACCTTGGTCAGTAATTCCAAACCCTCTAATGCAGTCAGGGAATGTGGATGATCAGCGAGTGGTCAAGAAGATCAAATTCATCAGTAGCTTTCTCTTTCGTTTTTTCTAGCTGCCCCCACCCCATCCCTACAGACTTATAGGAGTCCAGAACAAGTCGTGGAGTTGTACTCCTTAATTCTTATTATAATTTCAAGAATGGGGCTTTCAATAATGACAATAAAACACTGATAAACTGATAAACAAGTTGTTTGGCATTACTTTAAGGCAGCACCATGAATGAGTGGCATTTGGCCATGTGTGTGTTAGGGCCTGGGTTGATGAGGGTAAAGAACAGAAACACCCCCCACCCCACCCTCATCCTGTACACCTACCACCTACCCACCGGGTTGGATATAAAGGGAACAGATGGGGTGAGATGCACCCATCCTGAAACACTACTCTCTCCAAATCAGCACAAGTCCCCATGCTGGCCCTCATCTATGCTGGCAGGAGCTAAAATGGTTATAACCACTCAGCAAATCAGCACTGTATTAGGCCATTCCTGCATTTCTATAAAACAATACTTAGAGACTGAGTAATGTATAAAGAAAAGAGGTTTAATTGGCTCATGGTTCTGCAGGCTGTACAGAAAGCACAGCACCAGGATTTGCTTCTGCAGAGGCCTCTGGAAGTTTACAATCATGGCAGAAGGTAAAGGAGGAGCAGGTGTCTTACATGGCAAGAATGGGAGCGAGAAACAGGGGAGGTGCCACACACTTTTAAACAACCAGATCTTGCAAGAACTCACTCACTATTGCAAGGATAGCACCAAGAGGATGACACTAAACCGTTCATGAGAAATCCACCCCTAAGATCAAATCACCTCCCACCAGGCCCCACCTCTAACATTGGGGATTACAATTCAACATGAGATTTAGAGGGACATACATCCAAACTATATAAAGCACATTCTTTTTACACAGTAGCACAACTTGAGAAGTCTGTGAAGTATACCCATTCTCATCCTGAGAACCGCAGCTGATGACTGGTTGAAATTCACGCAGTCATCATTGCTGCTTAGGGAGAAAGCCTTGGACTTCTGACTCATAGTGCATCTCCCACATCTATTGGACAAGAGATGATTAGGATGATTATTTGATTTAACTGGGGATATTTGTCAAAAATATAATTTCCTGGGCCTCCCAATGCATAGATCTGATTCAATGTACTTTGAAAAACCTAAGGACAATGACATACACCCCAGGTTAGGAACAGTCTACTATCCAGGAAGACATCATCAGCCTTGAGTAAGAAGTGACCCAGGACAGAGCCAACAAGAACCACAAGTGAGTCAACATCTGCTGGAGCTGCCAGGGTGGCTGGAGCAGCGGACAGGAGGAGGAGGAAGAATAACAGTTACCTAGCCGTGTACCTCAGTCTTCACATCTGAATAATGGAGATAGTAATACTATCTGCCTCATGCAATTGCCGGGAATGTTAAATCAATCAGTCAATATAAAGTACATAGTACAGTGCCTGGCACTTGTATCTTGATAAAGATTAGATGCTGTTGTCTTTATTTGGATCTAAAGCTGCCTGAGTAGAAGCTGGAGAATGAGGCAGGGCTGTTTAATGGGACAAGTCTAAAAGGAACTGGGTGAAGTAGAAAAGGAAACCAGGTTTCTAGCTCCTTTAAATGTCCAGAGAAGAGCTGGAAATTCTGCTATGGCTAATCTTTGAGGATTAGTAATTTGTTAATTCACATTAAAAGGATCAACTTAAGGCAAGGTTATTTAATATCTATAACTTATCCATTTATGTCATTCAAAAAACCTCCAGCATTTGCCAAAAGGAAAAAATGAGAAAAGGAAAATATTTTACCAGTAATTCAGATTTAACTTGGAAGTCCCTGGCTTCATGAACATTCTTTATAAAAACTGCAAAATTCTCAGGACTAATACTTACATTCTGACTTACAATTCAGGCTAGGGAGGTATATTTGTTACCTATTACTGTATAACAAATAATCATAAACCTAGTGGCTTTTAACAACACATATTTATTATCTCACAGTTTCTGTGGACTAAGATCCAAGCGCAGCCTGTACGGGTCCTCTGCTTTAGGGTGTCTCCTAAGGCTGCAATCAAGGTGTCTGCCAGAGCTGGGGTCTTACATGAAGGCTCTGCTAGGGAAGACTCTGCTTCCAAGCTGATGAGGTTGTTGGCAGGATTCATTTCCTTGTTGGCTCTCACCATTCCTTACCATGCAGGCCTCTTTGACATGACAGTTTTCTGATTAAAGCCAGCAGAGGAGAGAGTCTGCTAGCAGGACAGAAGTTACTAAGTTACGTAACCTCATCATAAAAGTGACATCCCATCCCCTTTGCTTTCTCTGCTGGTTAGAAGTAGTCACAAGTTCCACACACATTCAAGGATAGGAGGTTAAACAAGGTCACGAATACCAGAAAGCAGGGCTCATTGAGGTCCCTCTTAGAGTTGGCCTGTCACAGGCAGCATTTCCCACATGGGGCTCCCTGAAGCACTACTGTGCCTCCAGACATTAACTGACAGTTTAGAAAACAAATTGACACATGCTAATTGTTTTTCATCTCAATATTACCTCAGACAGGGAAATCCAAAATATACTCTTATGTAATGACCCCAGATATGCAATAATCTGCCATATCCAAGAACACTTTCCTTGTAAGATTATTGCTTAATATGAGAATGCAAAATGTTTACCGCCTATAGTGATGCATTAAGCAGCATTGATTTCAGGTTGATCTATGTCATTTATTCAGTGTCCACCCCTGTGTGTTATCTATCTTGTCTTACGATTTCAACATAAATGAATATTTAATGTTTCTTTTATATTAAATATTTATGCTACACAAATTCATGCTCCACAGATCTGTGACTCAAAGAAGGACATTTTTAAACAACAATAAAAGAGTGTTGAGATTCTCGAACTGTGTCACAATCAAGCAAAAGTTGAAATACATCAAAATGAGGGTTAAGGCTCTGCTTTCTAAATATGCCTGGGAGTAAGATGAATTATTCCAGAACCATCTAAGTCAATGGTATCAAGATTTTGCAAAATATGTAATTTGGGCTCTCTCTTTCCTTATAACATTCACCATCTCTATGACATGACATTTTTTTGGCTAGGCACAATGGCTCATGCCTGCAATCCCAGCACTTTGGGAGGCCGAGGCGAGTGGATCACCTGAGGTCAGGAGTTCAAGACCAGCCTGGCCAACATGGCAAAACCCTGTCTCTACTAAAAATACAAAGATTAGTCAAGAGTGGTGGTGGGCACATGTAGTCCCAGCTATATGGGAGACTGAAGCAGGAGAATTGCTTGAACCCAGAAGGCAGACGTTGCAGTGAGCTGAGATTGTGCCACTGCACTCCAGCCTGAGTGACAAGAGCGAAACTCTGTCAAAAAAAAAAAAAAAAAAAAAAGACATGGGATTTTTCATTTTACTTTGCAATGAAAGGAAAATGTAGAACATATTAAATCCTGCACTTCAAATTTGGATTTTAATTCAACAATATGTCATTTCCAAAATTAGACACAAAACATTGTTTTTGTTGAAAGGGTTTGTTATTTTTTGATGTCACATTTTACATTAACATGTAAAATAAGATTTTTATGTTTTATTTTAAAATATTCCACTTTTCTAATTTTTGTGTGACAACTTTATAAGGAAGACAACAACTGGTAAACCTTAAATACTATATCCTTTCTCTGGTCACTCCTTCTAAAGAATGTCGTATGTTTTATATTTAGCTCCTTGTACCTTTGTGGTGCTGATGGAATAAAAAGGCAAATTAAAGGCTGAGAGAAACCACACAAACATCAATGAGCTCATAGAAAAAGATCACAAAGAATGACACAAACTTAAGGACGGAGAGAGTCATCAAAGGTTCGGAAAGACAGACAGAGAAAGAAACTGGAAGCAGCATCTGTGAATAATGCAATTTGGTATTAAGAAAGATGAGGAAAAACTGCTTGGTTTTTCTCTGTGCTTTTCAATATAATTCTCTCTTTTTCTGCTCACAGAAAAGCAGTCGTACCAAAATGGTCTCAGTAATAATTATTATTAGTCTCTAAGGCTTTCAAAGCCAGACTTGTGTTTCTTTTAGACGTGCCATGATGCTTGTGTGGGCCTTACCTGGGCATTCAGAAAGTTGTCTCTCTCTACAGCATCCTCTATGTTTGTCCTGTGCTAATACTGACAGTTCTTCTCCCAATTTCCATAATATAAAATCCACTCCACAGGGTATTAGTGTGCAAGGTAGATTTTACTGAAGATTTCATGGTGCATCATGGATGATTTCATTAAAAAATTTCCCTTGGGTAATTGCTGTCCAAGACTGGTCTACTCTGCCAGCTGCCAGGTCTGCGTGTCCCTGTTTCCCCATCTGCCTTTCCCTCCTTCCCTCACTGATATAGCCTTCCAGTCCTCCAGCTCCTTGAGATCTACTTAAGTATATTCAACACGCAGCCCCCACCCACCCCATTATTCCCCACGTGGCAAACAAAATATTCTCTCTAGAAATCCATGAAAGATTAGGTAGAAATGTTTTTTCACTGTCACATAATGTTCAAAAAAAGATTAAAAAACTGATTAAATTTTCATCATTTATGATAGCAATTGTTTTGTCTGTCACTTTTCTGGCATAAGTAGAAACCAAGTCTCTATCTCCTGACCTTTTGTCAATGCTCTGCCAGTACATTCCAATTTTAAAGGAATTTTGATGTTAAAATGGTTTGGGAAATGTTGCAGTGGGATATATGGCAAGGAGTGGCGTCTCTAAATCCAAATTAGGCAGGAGGATTCAAGCAAAACTTGGGTAAAGTGATCACTTCAAAAGAATGAAGGATACACCACATGTAGAGGGAGAGGCTGAATATCATTCATTCACTGAGCATTTGCTTCACACCTACTGTGAGCCAGACACTAAGCTGAAGGCCAGTCTTACAATAGGAAACAAGGTGGACATGGTTCCCACCCTCATGAAGTCTGTGGTCTGGTTGGAGAACAAGTAAATGATTAAACAAGCAACTTTAATAGAATGTGCATAAGTTGCAGGGGAAGTATGGAGTGAAATGGGACAATATTCCCAAATCCCCTAGCACATGTATTTGTTTATCTAGGATAACTAGGGAAGGGGTGGAAAGGTGAGAGTGGGGATCTTTTGAGCAAGGGTAACAGCAAGTTCAGAGTTAAGGAAGTAGAGCAACACAGGCAGCATGAGGAGTGTCGAGAAAGGAGCTTATTTTGTCTGGGTGTGGGAGGGGCAGGGCAGGTACAGCCAAGAAGAGGCTGGAAAAGAAAAGTCCCATATCCTCAGGTTTCTACCCTTTGGCAACAAATTCCGGTTTCCTTATGCTCAGCTGAAACCTAATCTCAATATATGCCTGCAGTTTGACTGCATCTCTTTCTCCCTGGAAGAGCCCAGAGTCTCTGGGTCAGGGGGCTGCCCTGCAGCATTGCAGCATCCCAATGGCACCCCTCAGCCTCAGCGTCGACTCTTTAAGGTTGGGACATGCAATCAAAGTGTGGTTAACTTTACATCCCTCACCTTAGTTATGCTGCCTATCAGAACACAGGGGAATTTAACAAAATATGTTTTTTATTGATATCAAGTAAATTAATTTTACTTTAAGAACTTTTCTGAGAATGTCTTGACCAATCTTCAAAATGATTGTAACATGCTGGCATATTACATATTGGATTTGAAATTCTTTTCACTGATCTGAATATTACATATTGTAGAGATGAAAATAATTAATTAACCCACAATTCATTGGATAACTAGTAACAGCCATGTCCTAGGAGTTACATAAATAAGAAAATGTCTCTCCAAATTGTTCACAGTCTAGAAAACATACAAGGAAACTCTATGAATTCCTGTGGTAAAGGGAGATGTAAAGGGCATTATTACAACCCAGATCCAAGGCCTGGAGTTCAAACAGTGAGTGGCTGGGTAAGACTCACTGAGGAGGTGATGATCATATGAGGGATGATATAGTCTGTCCTCTCCATATATCATGTTGAAACATGACCTACAGTGTTGGAGGTGGGGCCTAGTGGGAGATGTCTGGGTCATGGGGCAGATCTCTCATGAATGGCGTGATGCCCTTCTTACAGTAATGACTTCACATGAGAGCTGGTTGTTTGAGGGAGCCTGGCATCCCCTCTCTGCTCCCTCTCTTGCCATGTGATGCCTACTCCTGCTTTGCCTTCCTCCATGAGTAAAAGCTTCCTGAGGCCCTCACCAGAAGCAGATGCTGGTGCCATGCTTTCTGTACAGCCTGCAGAACGATGAGTCAAATACACCTCTTTTCTTTGTAAATTACCCAGTCTCAGCTATTCCCTTACAGCAATGCAAAGTGGACTAACACAAGGAAGAACTGTTTCTCTTTGCCTTTTTCTTTTTTTCCTTTATTGCATGATTACTGCTATTCACCCAGGCTTTCTGGGACCATATCCCCAATTACCACACCAATGTAGTAATTAGGAAAAAGATTCCATAATGAAAGCATTCTGGACATATTAGGCTAGGGCTTGAAGGAAGGGATCTTGCTCCTTCTCTGTCTCAAGCCCCTCCTCACATTCATCCCTTCTCCATGACTTGTTGGCCCATTTGGCCAAGGAGGTCTTCTCTGATAAATAGGTAGTTGGGGGGCTAACTTTGTTCCGAGGTACCCCAGCACTCACCACCCCAACCCAGGAATTAATGTCCAGAGCAGACAGAGCACCTAACTAGAAAACACCTGCAGAAACACATGGAGACAGAGACCAAAAGATACAGAACTTAGCATACATGGGAAGGGAAGCCCACACAAATTATACAATGGGAAATGTACAATGTCAAGAATAGTTTGTTCTAAAGTTCTCCACTAATTTTTTTTTTCAAAACTTGGGATCTTAATGGAAAATAACAGTAAACACGTGGGGTAGTGAAGTAGAATCAAATGATGCATTTTTTTTTTCTTCTCATGCACCCTGCAGTCAGCACCTGAGGGCCCACGTTGAGAACAGATTACCCTTTGAGTGTTAAATAGGAATGTTTGAATATTAGAGGTATGCTTATTTATCAGCAGTAGTTATCTTTCCCACTCATTTCTTCGCTTATACAACAAAAATAGATAGAACCTCCACTACATGCCATGTACTTTGGATCCAAAATATAAATAAGACCAAGTCAGTCTAATAATGAAAACAGACAAGCACAGTACAATGACTAGGGTGCAGTATATCAGAGAACAATGTACGTCTCCCAAAGAGCAGGGACGATATTTTCATATTTGCTATTCAGAATTTCACCCCGAACACTTAAAGTAACACCTAACATATAACAGGTTCTCTTTAAATATGTGCTAGCTGATGTGTCTATGTGTCCAATGCACAGTGTGATATATAGCATGGGAGCAGGACACATAATCAGACAGGATTGGTGGGTGAGGAAAGTTCAGCTGAGTTTGGTGTTCACACATAGAGTGATAGCATCTGCCTCATAATGTGATTTTCTGCAGCACTGCTGATCTGCTTGATTATAAGTGGAATCATTAGATGATTTGGATGATAAAAAATAAGTTTCAGAAGTCAAAATATACAGGAGTAGGGAGGTAAGAGCCTTTCTGGAGAGTGACTGAAATAAATAACCATAAAATCTAGGAAGGCTAGCTGGGCATGGTGGTCACCCCTATAATCCCAGCACTTTGGGAGGCTGAGGCAGGCAGATTGTTTCAGCCCAGGAGTTCAAGACTGGCCAGGGCAACATAAGGAGATCCATCTTTACAATAAATACAAAATTTAGCTGGGCATGGTGGTGTGTACCTCTTGTCCCAGCTACTCAGGAGGCTGAGATGGAAGGATTGGTTGAGCCCATGAGGTTGAGGCTGCAGTGAGCTGTGATTGAGCCACTTTACTCCAGTCTGGGCAACAGAGCAGAACTCTGTCTCAAGAAAGAAAAAAAATCTAGGTGGGCAGGGCAGAGAATAAAGAAGCTCTAAAGGGATGAAAACAGAGCAGTCAAAGCCCCAGAGGTCTCAATGAAATTCAAAGACTAGACAGTGGGGATAAGCATGAGGAAATAGGACCCATAGGTGAATATTAATATACAAAGCTGAGATACTGATGTTTAAGATTTCAGAAATAGAGCTGTTTAGGGTAATTTTTTTTCCAGTGGGGATGCTGAAGTCGTGTGGAAGCCATTTAATTAGAGAAGATCAAAGCAGTCAGTAATGCTGGGTAGATGGATGGGGTCATCCTTGCTGTGTAGGAGAATGGCAGAGGAGGAGAAGAGCCAGAGGCCAAAGATCTCAGTGGAGCAGTGGCGGGGAGGTCGGTGAATGACAGCATTTGAAGGGGGTGAGCTTCACCACGGTTCCTCCAGAAAGCAGAGCCCGAGGCGATGGCTTGCATGCAGTCATTTGCAGTCAGTTGATTTGAAGACAAGATCCTGGTGAGTAGGAGTGAGGGAGTGTGGAGGGTGAAACAGGAAAGCAAAAAAGTTCATGCAAGGGTATTTTCTTGAGTGAACTCTGCTGTCAGTAAATTAGACTCTATCCTGCCTTCAGAAACTTCTGAGCCATGTAGAATGAACCTCAGAACTTGTCCACTTTCTTCTTCCTCTTTCAGTCAAGGGATGTCTTAGTGGGGCTTGAATTCCCTCTTGTGAGGCTGCAGCAGTGTCAGTGCCAGGCAGGTTTCCACAAGTGTGTTACCCTAAGGCCTCTGGGAAGCCCCAGGTAAAAATCAAATGATAACAAGGTGTAGCTGAAGGAGCATGCTGTCAGGTTTACACCTGCCTGGAGCTGGTTGTCACTACAGAGGCTGGAGTGAAAGCTAGGCAGGGAGAATGTGAGATGGGGCACCAGAAGGGTCTGTTACAATAGGTAAAGGAGTCATTGTAAGCAGCAGGTAGGAGCAAATAGAAAGCCAGTGTAGGCACAGGCATGAAAGGTACTGCAGAAGGATGGCATTAATCACCAGATTCCAACTGGAGCCTTGCCCTAGAACTCCAAAAAATAGTCATCCTGCAGGTGAGCAAGACTAAATTTCTAAGGAAGGGGGCTAGATGGGAAGATCCATGCTCACTTGGGCTTCCCCTACCCCAAGCATGTTTGACCAGATACAGAGCGTGGCTGCTTGGAAAAGCAAGCTGTGGCCTACTCAATGGCATCAATATATCAGGAGATACAATATTTGAGCTCACAGAAGTCTGTTCTGAATATGGAAGAGAGGCAGGCAGAGAGAGAGAGAGAGAGAGAGGGAGACTATAAAAAGAAATAAGGTGGCCCTTAACTTGGCCTGGAATAACTAACATATAAAGATATAACTTATCTGATCCACTTGGCAGTTTTATTTAGCAAAGTAAACTAACAAATTGGCATTCTGATTTAGATGTAGCTCTCTTGGGAGTTGGTTTAGCCAGTTAAGCTCCCCTGAGCCTGAACAACCCTGGGCTTGCTAATAA